CTGGGCAGCCAGACCCGCCTCCAGCCTTGACCCTGAGCACATGGAATAGTTCACTTTGTCCTGCCGGGAGAGGGGACACCGTCAGCTCCCGGCCACTCAACGTGGAGACAAGGGCCACCCTCCCCATCCGACGCGTCCCCACGGGGAGCGGGTGAGCCCCGAACTCAGCCCTGTGGGACAGGGACCCAGGGCGATGTAGCCCTGGGGCGGGACAGACCTTACAGGTCTCGCAGGTACATCTGCTCGGTGCTATGGGGGTCCATGTCCCCCTTCCCCATAGGAGGTTGGGGGAGCAGGTAGGGCACAGCCAACACTACCACCCCTGTGGTGGAAAAACGCCACGGGCATGGGAATTTTGGGCTTGCTCCCGAACACAGTGGGTGCTCCTGAATGCAAACAGGTGCTCCTGAACGTAACGGGGTGCTCCTAAGTGCATTGGGATGGTCCTAAACACGCCAGGGTGCTCCAGGCTGCTATGGGGTGCTCCTAACTATGACGAGGGTGGTCCCAAGTGCAATGAGATGCTCCTGGTTGTGATAGATGCTCTCGGTCACGATGGGATGCTGCCGGCCTCGAGGGGTGCTCTCACCCCAGCAGCGCCCGGCGGGGAGCAGCAGGCCAGGCGCAGGGAGCTATTCACGGCCGCCAGCTGCTCCCGCAAGCTCTCCACCTCCCTCTGAGCCGCCTCTGCTCGCTGCAAAAGAGCAGAAAGCGTGTCAGGCTGTGCCTCATCCCGTCTGACATGGGGCAGAGCAGGGACCCAGGATCGATGCTGACCCTGAGCACCCTGCTCCCACCACCATCACCGTAAGCCCTCCCAAGTGTTTTGGCTCCCCATATCCCAAAACAGTTCCCAGTCACCATCCCTGGGCACTGGCTGCAGCACACCTCCGGGATGTTGCTTATTTTTCCACCCAAAAGGCTGTATTTACATGCAAATTGCTCTTTAAGCCTCTTTGATTATCCACGTGCGTTAATTTGTCCCTGTATTTTCAGAATGAAATAAAACTAATGAGTAGGAATGGATAGCACCACAAGTAATTATGCCAGAAACCCACACCAGGCTGGTGGGTCACGCCCAGAAATGCCGGGGAGAGGCTGGAGGTGACAAACATCGGCTCTGGCAGCCAAAATGAAGCCTGGCTGAAGCCCAAACACACCAGTGACTCCCAACACCAGGCAAAGGGTTTCACAGGGTTGGTTTGGAGGAGCCACTGTGGCTCCCCTTTGTAGGGCTTCTCAGTCCTGGAGCCTGACCACCCTGGACCATTTCTGGGGACAGACATCCAGGCCATGCAGATGCTCAGGGTGCTGAGGTGGGTGCAGCACCTGGGCTTTGCGAGATGAACCCCACCAGCCCCAGAGGTGGAATCATAGAATCATTCAGGCTGGAAAAGACCCTTGGGATCGAGTCCAACCATTAACCCGACTCTACAAAGCTCACCCCTAAACCGTCTCCCCCAACACTACATCTAAATGAATGGGAAGGGAAGGTCAGGTAGGGAAGGCTAGATGTGGTGTTGGGGTATATGTCAGGGTGGAAGGAGAGCAGGGTACATGTTCCGCTGTGGCTGGAAAGTCACCTCCCAGCTCACCTGGTTGGCTTTTTCAAGGTTCGTCATGATCATGGCTACTTCATCCGCCCTGTGATGAGAAAGCAAGAGGCGTCAGCCGGCACGGAGGCACGGACACAGCCCTCCATGGCCAGAGCCGCAGCTGAGGGCACAGGCAAGCATCTTAAATATAGGGAGCCCCATGATTCAGGGTGCTCCTGTGGTTGCTTCAAGTATCTCAGCTCCTCGAGACATTTCACAGCACCGCAGGGATGACCCGGCACTGCCGCAGACGGCTCGGCTCAGCCAACGGCCTCCAGGCACGGCCAGGCATCGCCGGCAACTTACTTGGACGCGGCTTCCTCGTCGTATTTACACCGCAGCTCCAGCAGCTCCGTCTGGGTGGCCTTCAGCGCTGGGAGGAGGAAGAGGAAGGTGAGCCATGGGGTGGGAGCTTGCCCCTCCCGCGTCCGGCAGCCCCTGCCCACCGTACCTGCGTGGAGCACTTTGATCTTCTCCTCTGCTTCCCCCAGCCGAGCGGCCAAAGTGACCTGTGCTTCCTGCAGCCCCCTGCGAGAGACTGGCATCAGCGGCAGGCGGGTGCCACTGCGGCCGTGCCGACCCCGCAGCCCCCACCGAGATTTCAAGGAGACCCCCCTCACTGCGACCCCTCCTCTACCCCATCGCTTGGGCACGCCGTGTAAAGACCCATCAGTGGATGCCGTGATCATGCTGTGCTACCCCTTGATGTGAAGGGGTTTATAGTCCT